GATACAATCTATTTTTTTTTTTTTGTAGTGAGATATCATAGAATCATAAAACTACGTTATAGATTATCAATTAAAGATTCAAAACAATTACATCAATTGCGGGGGAGATAAATATGATAAAGTATCAAAAGTGAAAAAACTTAATCACTCTAATTTATGTAAAACAGAGAAATCACTGTATGTATATATATATTTTTTATTTTTAAAAACACTGAATAATTTACCCAAAAAAGGTGGTGAAACAATCTATTTCAAGAAAAAGAGTCCCAGTGGGACTAGAGCGGTGGTCATGAAATTAAATTTTGGCCCTTGCGAAAAGAGAGGACAATGGCAATTCCGTAATTACACATATTTAATTCGGGGTGTTTCCGTAAATTACAATCTGACCGTTTCTCGAACCCGAGTACGTGGCAGCCACTGAAAAGGCCCACAAAAACACTCTCCTTCAAACTATCAATCTCAGCCGTTGGATCAGAATCAGATTCTTTTCGAGACGGCAAAACCGGCAAGTTGATAACAAAAAGGAAAAAATAATTCCAAACCCATCTTCCTTAACCATGGTTAAGTCAATTAACCATATACAACCTTTCCTAAATCACGAAAATGGTCACTAAACTTGTAGATAATTACAGAAATTGCCATTCAACGTTTCTACCTATAAATTCATCTTCTGCGACTCGCTAGGTTTGCCGAACCAACTACCCTAAAGGCACTTCTGAAAAAAAAAAAAAAAACACTTTTTCCTTTCTTCCTTTGTCTTCTTCTCGAAGAATCCTTTTCAATTCCTTCGATTCACAAAAAATATTCGAAATGGTGATTACATCTTCTAGAACCAGATCGAGCGGTCCGGTGTTACGCTCGGTGTCACCGTCCGGTCGTTTTTCCGGTGTGTATTCGAAGGGTGCTCCGTCGTCTTCAGGTTTCGCTTCTTCCACAAGCTCGAGTTTCTCCTCGTCTTCAGCTTTTTTCAGCAACCACCATCAGCAACAACACCACAGATCTGCATCTCCGACGCGTGTGAATCTGTTCACATCAGCTCCGTTAAAGCAATCGTTTCGTTATTCGATCGATAACAGATCTATATCACCGAATCGATCAATCGCTGTTTCGAAGCAAAGCAGTCATAAGATTCCAGATTCAAGGAGGAGATGTATGTGTTCTCCAACGACACATCCTGGTTCGTTTCGATGTAGTCTACACAAAAACGTTGCGAATCCACACGGTCAAGGCGCAGTGACGTATCCAACTAACAGTTTGAATATGCGTAGATCTGCTATGACGAATTCTCTGGTGAGAATCGGTGGTGTAGAAGGTGAATGGGTGAGGAGAGCTTTGACTACGTTGATTCGACCTTCGTCACATCAGCTCAAGAGACGATCTGCTTATCAGCCTCGTCCTAGTCGACTCTCGTCCATGTCGAAAGCAGAAGTAGATCATCTTTGATCTGGTTTTTCGTTTCAGGTTTGTTCTTGTTTATTGAATCGGCCACAGGGAAGGAAAAAAAAATCTCGTTTCTGGTAGAGCTTTGGTTCGAAGATGGGATTAGATCCGGCGAAGAAACAGTCAGATCTGGGCTTAATCGAGGAGGGAAATTCGGCTGAGTCATACCGGAGTGAGTTATGTAACGGAGACTGGAAACGAAAGTTTTGTTTGTTTGGGTGAAGAAGAGAGATCCGATGGATTTGTACATAGTAGTACTCATTTGCTATATTGTAGCACACTAAAATATTCACCCAAAGTCTGAAAAAAATCTAGAAATCTAAAGAACCTGAGAACAATAGTCGCAAATTGGGTAAATTAAAAATCTGAATGGGACTGACTTTGGTAAATAATTTGGGATCCAATTTCTCAATTCCCATTGAGTTTTGTGTCATCATTACGTGTTCCGTCAACATTCTCCACTTCCGTTGACACGTTCCGTTTGCCGTTAACCGTCGTCGTGTTCTGCCGTTATGTGTCCCGTTATAATTCGAGGTATGTGTCGTTCGTCGTGTTGAGGTATGTGTTATCTTTTTCCGTTTATTTTTATTTTATGTTCTTGTGAACGTTTGATCTGTTTTTTTTGTTCTGTTTTTCAGGTTTGTGGAGGCTTTAACCTAACCGTTACGTTTTGGCATTGGACTATTGGACTTTGAAAAAAATGAACTCGGACTGTAAGGGAAATCAAACATTTGACCTTGAAACGTCAATGAGAGGAGGAGAAAGTTAATAAGGACAATTCACATGACGAAATTAATTTCGAATTTTGAAAAGATTCAGAGGAATTAAGAGAAATCAGGTCTTTTACCAAAACAGCTCAAAGAAAAGTGAATATGGCAAAAAGATGAAATTTCCCGAAACGGTAGAGGATAATTTTGGGAAAGAAAAAGATTCTTGGGGGTATATTTGGGAAAAAAGACAGCTGTGCGATGAATGGAGAACAGCACAACATGCAATTATTAAAAAGTTTTAAGAAACAAATCGAGGAAAAAAAGAATATTTATTATTACGTTGGGGATTCAAACTAATTAAAAAAGGTCAAAAAGTGGGAGAGAATCCGAGAAGTGGCAGAGACACGTCTTCCTTATTTGGAGGGGGATAAAGTTGGAGTATAGATTTTATGCATCACTCGATTTATATAATAGGATTCTTTGATAAGTTAATAAATCTTAGCTTTTGATTTGTTGCCCGAATTGATATAATCATATTAGTATCTCTTAAGTACTAGGTTCTATAACCTTTTTCCCCATGGTAGATCATAGATTGATGGTATCCTTTTATGAGATCGTTTTTTCCCCGTTAAACAATACTGTTTATATTATTCCAACCAGAGTTGGTGTGGCTAATTACATCATAACAAAAACACCAACATAAAATACGAGATTTACGGTTTAATTAGGTTTAAAAGAAACGCGCCAAATAATTTGCCTTAAACATATATAAAAATATATATTATACGACCTAAAAAAGTGTATGCAAACAACTAAATTTTTGATTTTTGATTTTTTTTTTTGGAAAAATTAGGTCATTCAGGGAAATAATTAATCGATCATAGTTCAAATACTATGCAAGCAGTTTGTCCAAAGGATATGATCGTTGATGGATAAACACAATATTTTAGAAAAACTATATATGGACTATCAATAGCATGTAAGAAAAGACAAAATTACCAATTATTATTTTTATTTAATGAAGATAATACTTTAGTAGAAGATTTTTTAATCAACAAAATTTTGGTGTAGGATTATAATGATGTGATCATTATCAACAAGAGAGTTGTTTGCAAGATAAGATCTTCGTAAGGTCCAACCGACCTCCTAACAAAAGCAACAGTAAGAGGATGTGTATGTAGGCTGGACCATT